CAAACACAGACACACACAAACACAGACACACACAAACACAGACACACTCTCTCTCTCTCTTACACATACACTCTCTCTCTACCTCACATACACACAAACTCTCTCTCCCTCACTCTCACACACACAGACACATACACACACAGAGACACATACACACACTCATCCTCCCTCACTCACACACACACACTCAGTCTCCCACTCTCACACACGCACGCACACACTCAGTCCCCCTCTCTCACACATGCACACATAGTCTCCCTCACGCGCACACACACTCAAGTCTCCCACTCTTACACACACACACTCAGTCTTGCTCACACACACGCCCCCTCGCACACACAGACACATTCCATCACACTCAAACACACACACACACTCTCCGTCCCTCACACAAGCTCATCACTCTCTCTCCCACACACACCCTCACCCACACACTCTCTCCTTCACATTCACACACACTCTCTCACACACTCTCTCTCCCTCACATACACACACATTCTCTCTCCCTCCCTCACACACACAGACACACACACACACACACACTCAGTCTCCCTCTCTCTCACACTCACCCATACATACACACTCAGTCCTGCTCTCTCTTACACACACTCAGACTCCCACTCTCTCACATACACACTCAGTCTTGCTCAGACACACACACATGCACACTCTCTGTCCCTCACACAAGCTCACACACTCTCTCCCTCACGCACACTCTCTCTCTCTCTCACACACACACTCTCTCTCTGACACACACACACTCTCTCTCTGACACACACACACACACATTCTCTCTCTCACACACACACACACACTCTCAGTCCCCATCTATCACACATGCACACAGTCTCCCTCTCAAACACACACACACACACACTCAGTCCTGCTTTCTCTCACACACACTCAGTCTCCCACTCTTACTCACACACACTCAGTCTCGCTCACACACACACACATACACTCCCTCACACATAAATCTGTGGGGTGAATTTGTATTTGCATTTGCAGACACATTACTTTTGTTCAAAACTACACAATTTGTTGACAATCAGTCAATGTGGCCTTTTATAAATTCCTACTTTAGAAATAAAACCAGTCTGACTCCAAACCAAAACACAAACAGGAGTGTGTGTGTGTGTGTGTGTGTGAGAGAGAAAGAGAGAGAGTGGAGAGTGTGTGTGTGGGAGAGAGAGAGTGTGTGTGTGTGTGGGAGAGAGAGAGTGTGTGTGTGTGTGCGGGAGAGAGAGAGTGTGTGTGTTTGTATGTGCGTGTTGTGGGGGGAGAATGTGTGTGTGTGTGTGTGTGTGTGTGTATGTGAGGGAGAGAGAGAGTGTGGGAGGAAACCAGAGCATCTGGCGGAAACCCACACAGACACAGGGAGAACATGCAAACTCCACACAGTCACCTGAGACTGGAATTGAACCCAGGTCTCTGGCACTGTGAGGCAGCAGTGCTAACCACTGTCTCTCCATACTGCCTATCATGGGCTAAATTCCATATAAATACCATGTTTTCATTGTTCAACCTTTTCATCGCTTCAAATTTGAAATGAATTGATCCCAATGGAATGAAAAATCACTGTTTCATGATCATTGGCCATAGTCCAAAGATGTGCGGGTTAGGTGAATTGGTCATGCTAAATTGCCCAGTTATGTCCAGGGATGTGCAGGCTAGGTAGGTTAGTCATGGTAAATGTGGGGTTATGGGATAATATGGGTCTGGGTGGGATACTCTTTGGAGAGTCAGTCCAGACTCAATGGGCTGAATGGCCGATATCTACACTGTTGGGATTCTATGGTTTTCATCTGGTTGAAGACATCCTTTTTTTGTTTGATCCTTCTACATATGAGGCCTCCTGTTCCAAGACAACCTTCCCCGCAGAGTGAGTCCATTCAGCTTCTTCAGCTATTCGCTTAGTGACCTCCTTCACTACCAGCTGCTGGAGTTTCCTTTATAGAGGCTCATCATTCAATTAGGAATGGTGGAGGCAGGGGATTTGTGGTGGAAAGTGACCTAGGTAGACCACTCATTCTTTGGCTCAGTCCCTTTCACTACATCTTGTGAAGTGCATTGGTGATGTTATGCTACATTAAATGTGCTCTACAAATTTGTACTCACTTGTAGTTGGCTACTATTTATAGTCTGAATGAAATTAGACTTTTGAACCAATTGAATCAGTCCACATTATGTTTTGTATTAATCTAGCTAAATTTCTACAGCTTTGATAATCTTTCAACTGCACTTTGATATTAATGATCATTTTTTAAGCCACTAACCTCTTTCCGAAGGGGATCTATCAGACCAATGATTGATGGGTACTTCTCAACCAGGCTTGTGTATAGTTCTATCATTTCATCTGGGTGTTTAAATACTCCAGTTATAATTTCATATTTCTCCTTCTCCTAAAAGATGTAAAAATAAACTGCTTAATCATTATTCAGAAATGCTGAAAATGACACACAACAAAATTTGGTAACGAAAGAGCACTGGACAGTACTATATCTCATCAGATTTGCTATCATTATCTCTTCCATGTGTATTTGTTGTTGAAGACAAGCTTTCACAACCTTGCATCTCAAGATCTTGAATATGCATCAAATAATTTAAAAATCTGCTATACTCACATCATGATGAAATTATCCTATTGCATTACCATTTATGCAGAGTCTACATATGCCTATGGTTGTGAAATAAAATGAAAAAGTGCTGGAGAAACTCAGCAGGTCTGGCAGCATCTGTGGAAACAGAATTAATGTTTCAACTCCAGTGACTCTTCATGGGAACAGTCATTGCGAATGTGCTCCTTTGATTTCAAACTGTCATCACTATTTTTCCACTGATACAAAATGGTATCGTAATGGTCATTATCAAGCATCCTCTATTATGCTTAGAAAGCGATGGTTGCTTTTGGGAACATCCCTTTCTGGTGCATGATAGCTCAGGTACCTGTTTTTTATTCATTTATGCGATCTGGCTGGGTCAACATTTACTACCCATCCCTAGATGCCCCTGAGGTGATAAGCTGCCTTTAATTTCTGTAGTCCATTTGGTAGAGGTAGAACTTATAATGCTTTTAGGGAGGAAGTTCCAGGATTTAACCCAGTGACACTCAAGGACTGTTGATAGATTTCCAAGTTAGGATGGTGAGTGGCTTGGAGGGGAACTTGCAGGTGGTGGTGTTTCCATTAATTTGCTGCCCTCTTCTTTCTGGATAATAGAGGTAATAGGTTTGAAAGGTACAAACTAATATCCATTTGATGAATGCTCTGGAAAGGTGGGTTATAAGTAGCATCTTAAATGAGGGGAGGTGGAGCAGCATTTAGCGGGATGGGGGGACATGGACATTCAGAGACTTTAGACAAGGATAGATATTAATTATCTAATTTTATGTAAGATTACTCTTTACTCACATAATCCATTAATTCATGAGCAGCACAATTCAGCATCAAATGTAAGTCCTCCCCCAGCGTCAATTTTAGTGTGTCACAAACCTCTTCTATCAACTCAAAAGGCAGTTCTGTACGTTCAAATCCTTTCTCCCAGCAGCCTAAGTGAGACATTGCTACAGGCTGAATGTAAGGACAATCACAGTTATTTATTTGTCTGATTGTTTGTTCAAAATATTGTGATTTAAGCTCACAGCATCAATGAAGGGAAATAATAAGGTTATGTCTTTCATCTACTATTTTAAGATTGAATATAAAATCATTTTAAGCTGGTTAATTGAGATAGATGATATAATGCATAATTTCTCAATATACACTTACTAGAGACTTTTGGGAGAACATCCGTTTTGTAATTTGTTGTTGAAAAGCCATCATCATCTCCAGGCTCTGGAAGACACAATTACATTTTCAAATCATTCTTTGTTAGCAATAATAGTAACTAGATTTTCCAGATTTGATGCAGAATGGATATTTTTACTCATTGATGCATGTCTATTTTTGCAAGATAGTAGAGTTCAAATGCATTTATTGGCTTTCTTGAGCGGTAGTCAGGGAATCAATTATCAGGACACCTTGGACATTGCATCATACAGTATGGCATACATCACAGTTTAATTAAGTCAGAAGTCACACACCACCAGGTTATTTAAAATCACAAGCTTTCAGAGTGCTGCTCCTTCATCAGGTGAAGTCAGTTGAAGCTGCGCTCATCCAGGCAAGTGGGGAGTATTCCATCAGTTTCTTGACTTGTGTCTTGTAGATAGCACACAAGCTTTGGGGAATCAGAAGGTGAGTCATTCATTGCAAGACTCTAGCCTTTGACCTGCTCTTGCAGCCACAGTATTTATACAGTTAGTCCAGTTCAGTTTCTTGTCAATGGTAATCACCAGGATGTTGATCGTAATGCCATTGAATATGAAGGGGTGATGGTTAGACTCTCTCTTATCGGGTGTGTTGAGGCTATTTTGTTAGTTTTCCTACTACTTTTGATATCCATCTTTATAATAATAATTAGAATGCTTAGCTTAGTAACGATACCATTGTGCCCACAAACCTGAATCTCACCAGCAGGAAAGCCCTATGTTCAAATTACATATTTACAAAATATTATCAGTCCTTTGATTGCTGTTATTGGAAATATTCCTCTTCTGGAGCACTAATATGAACCAATCTCAGAAATCAAAGAGCACTAACATGAACCAATCTCAGAAACAAACACAAGTTCATTTTATTACATCAATTATTGAGTGAGTGAATATCTACCAATGAAGTTAGACATGAACAATAAATGGCACCATCATCACATCTACTGCATGAATTTTTAAAAATTAGTAAGGAACCACTGTCTCTGCAACTGTCTTATAAACATAGGAAAGAATCAGCTAATCCATCAAGTCATATTACATGTTCTCATGCCTAATGCAAAGTGGAATCACTATAAATATTAGAATATTGAGAGCCTTACCTGTTTATAACCAAGACTGTGCTTTGGAACTGCTATCACTTCCTTCATCAATCTTAATTTTCCTCCAGAAGATTTCCCACAACTAAGTAAACTTACCATAGGAATTGGCATTCTCATTTCTTTTGGGGGGTCCTAAAATTTCAAAGTACAGTTAAGGTTTTATTTTAAACTTGGAAATGTGCAAATGCTTTTCTTGCATATAGTTAAATATTTCTAGTTCCAGAATAACTTGCATTAAATATGGTAATTTCCCAACACATCACGCTAATGCATATCTTGCATTTTGATATCTTTACATGCCAGCGGCAGTTAATTACCAGTAAGAGACATAATGATCATTCATTTTGCCTCATAGAAAGCTTTCATAATTAGAGTGTTGGTATTTATTAATAGAAAATTGCAGAGTCCATGTTAAAATGTACCTATTTGCCCTAGAATATTTCTTAGAGTTTTACAGTTATCAAGGTTGTTTAAAACACCAGTAATATGAACTACTTTTAAGGTTCAACTAAGATGCTTCAAAACAACACTCTATGCTACAACCAGCACAAACCATGAAAGCTACTGTAATGAACACCAGCAAAGATTCTGAAACATCTGGTATGATGTGCAATGATCTTTCCCAATGATGGAAAGAATAAGAAAACTTTGCCAACCAAGCAGACATGAATGGAAGGATGTAGTCCCTCCATGCTGAAAACAGTAAACAAAGAGGACCCCAAGCTTCAGGAGGACAGAAAATGTGACAGCATTGCATTTTCATGTAACATGCCCTAGATGCTGACTTATCCAGCATTATCCCACTCAAAATAACAGTTCTTGCAGTTCCTCTCTCTTCAGGAACTTCACATCTCCATTTGAACAGCCAACATTCACACCAATCTCATCCTTTCACTCTTTTGCACCCAAGCCTTACTTTTCACAAATCCTGACCTTTTGCGTCATTCACATAAGCCATTGCCCTGAATTTTTTGTTTTCATTGCATGGAAAGAGAGTGGGAAACCTCAGAGAGAAGCAGAGTGGAGGGAGTGGGGTAGTGGAGGTACTTGCTCTCTAGAGGCAGGAACCTCATAGCCACTCATTAAGAACCCCACCTGGCCCATTGGCAAGAAGTTATTGTTTCAGGAGACAGCAGTTGTTAGCACTGAACTGCCATGAAAATCTGGCTGTCTTAAGGCACAGGTGCTCATGTTAAAAGAGCTGATCCTCTGTGTGTAAACCCTGTCTTGGGAGAGCTTGACTACTTTGAGCTCATCTTCATTCTGCTTTGTGTAGCGTCGAGGCTGAGGAGTAGGCAGTTGGTGCTGCTGCTGGTGTTGCTACCAGTGTCATTTCTCCATTTGATCTTCAGAGGTAGAGATTTTGCTTAATCTCTGTTTTAAACTGGGCAATCGCTAATTTTTAAACTGTAATCTCTAGTTCTAGATTCTTCTATAAGAAATATCAACTCTACATCGATCCTGTCAAGGCCCCTTAGGGTCTTATATTTCAATCAAGTCTTTTAGTTTTCTAAACTCCAAAAAATGCAAGCTTAGCTTGTCAAACATTTCCCCCTCATTCCAAGTATTCATCTGTTAAGCCTTCTTTGAATTACCTTCTACACATTTACACCCTTCCTTCAGAAATGTGCTCAATACTTTGCACAGTACTTTAGATGTAATCTCACCAGTGCCCTGTATACCCGAAACACAACCTCCCTACTGTTGTATTGAATCCCCCTTCTGATAAATGATACTATTCCATTAACTTTCTTCATTACTTGCTGCAACTGTATACTAACATTGCACAAGGACACCTAGACCCCTTTGCATCTCATCATTGAACAAACTGTTTAAGCTGTTTCCAAGCTACAGTGAAGAATGGCAATCGGAAATCACAACTCAATGTGGAAGAAGTGCAAGACAGATGAAATGGCTTCAAAGATATTGGCAATTACTTGTCAAGCACTCTCAGAGAAGAAATGCACAGAGTAGCAGCTTCTCATGTGGTCATAACAGAAGTGCTTCAGTTTCTCAGGTGAAAAGCTTTCTATTCTTATAGTTTCACTTAAGATGCATTCCCCACTGTGCACTTACTTCAGTGACTCTGGCAAATTTTACACAGTTCTGGGAATAGATCAGTTCCCTGTTAAATCTACAATACTTCGTTAAAACAAGCTAACTGTTTTTTATTGGAAAAAAAAACGAAGAACTGCAGGTTTTGGAAATCAGAAACAAAATCAGAAATTGCTGGAAAAACAGGTATGGACTCTGTTCAGAAGGGTCACTGGCCCCAAAACGTTATCTCTGTTATCTGTTTACAAATGCTGCCAGACCTCCTGAGTTTTCCAGCAATTTCTGATTTTGTTTCCAATTGTTTATTAGACTGTTTAAATAAATTATCCTGAACAGTTGCCTGGAGGTATCCTGTTTGGTTTCAAACACAGCCAGATGAAACTTGGGAACGGGTGGGATGATGGAGGGATCATAACTTCATAGAAGCATCAAAAACTGCCTGCCCTCCCTGTAAACGTTCTGCAATTCCCTGCACATCTAATCTGCTCAACCCACTTTTATTTCAGTATTGCTTTGTGAGCAGCAATCTTGAAAAAGAGACCAGGGAAAGGTTTGAAACTGCCACAAAACTAAATTAATATTCTTCCCTGTATTTTTACATACTCCTATCTACATTGTTCATCTTTCATGTAGCCATGTTTTATGTCAAAAATATCATTTTTTAGTGTGCACCTCCAGTTACTCTTAATGCCTTTGAAATTAGGTTGATGGATGCTGATATGAATGTTTGCCAATTGAAATTCCTCGCTGTATCATTCACAAGAGCCATTCTATCACCTACTTTATAATTACCCAAAATTAGTTTAATATCCACTAAATATTTCAATAATTCCTAACCTTATTTAAAATAAACACTTTGTATTAACTTTTAGAATTATACTTACCATTTAGTGGTTTCCTGATCCAAGCTTAATTTTTCCATTATATTCCATTTTTCCCAAATGGTGACCTCCATCTCTTGATTAACTCCAAACATTTGCTCATTTACTTTTATCAAACTATTATTTCCTGCTTTCCAAATGGTTTCAGGGAATCCCAGTTATTTTTCCTATGCTTTTCATTAACAGTTTAACTCCCTGTTTGTTTATATGCACTTGAGGAAAACATGTTATTTTTAAAGTTAACTCCCTTAAGAGTTTGTTTTTTAATTTTTTTTTGCATTCATAGATAAAATAAATGAAATAAATATAAATGAGTCTTTGTATTATTCATTTTTTCTTCAGCAACTCCATCAACCTCATATGTTAGCCTGTGTCCTCAGTAAAAATGTTACTGTCTTATCTTTCTCTTCTCTTTAGCTCAGCAGGCAATGTGCTATATTACTTATTCTTAGGAAACAGCATCCAATATTTTTACAGAGATAACAAGGTGTAAAGCTGGATGAACACAGCAGGCCAAGCAGCATCAGAGGAGCAGGAAAGCTGATGTTTCGGGCCTAGACCTTTCTTCAG